GAGTTGAGAAACACTGCCCTAACCAAAATCTAGTCAAGTGCCTTCAGAAGTCACCTAATTAGTAAATAGACTCCACCTGTGTGTAATTTAACCTCAGTATAAATACAGCTGTTCTGTGAAGCCCTCGGAGTTTGTTAGAGAACATTAGTGAAAAAACAGCATCATGAAGGCCAAGGAACACACTAGTAGGTGGTCAGGGATAAAGTTTTGGAGAAGTTAAACGCAGGGTTAGCTTATAAAAAAATTTCCCAAGCTTTCAATATCTCACAGAGCACTGCTCAATCCATCATCTGAAAATGGAAAGAGTATGGCACAACTGCAAACTGACCAAGACATGACCGTCCACCTAAACTGACAGGCCGGGCAAGGAGAGCATTAATCAGAGAAGCAGCCAAGAGGCCGATGGTAACTCTGGAGGAGCTGCAGAGATCCACAGCTCAGGTGGGAGAGTCTGTCCACAGGACAACTATTAGTCGTGCACTCCACAAATCTGGCCTTTATGGAAGAGTGGCAAAAGGTTGAAAAGAAAGCCTTAAGAAGTTGAGGTTGCAGTTTACGAGAAGCAATGTGGGAGACACAGCAAACATGTGGAAGACGGTGCTCTGGTCATAGGAGAGCGAAACTGAACTTTTTAGCCCAAAAGCAAAATGCTATGTGTGGCGGAAAACTAACACTGCACATCACCCTGAACACACCACCCCCACCAAAAAACATGGTGGTGGCAGCATCCTGTTATGGGGATGCTTTTCTTCAGCAGGGACAGGGAAGCTGGTCAGAGTTAATGGGACGATGAAGGAGCCAAATACAGGGCAATCTAAGAAGAAAACCTATTAGAGCAAGGGTGTCAAACTGGCAGCCCTCCAGCTGTTGGAAAACTACAAGTCCAATCTGACAGAGCTTAAGCTAGTTTGCAAAGAAAGTGCAAAAATTCCACTCTAGATGTGCAAAGCTAGTACAGACATGCCCAAAAAGACTTGCAGCTGTAATTGCAGCAAAAGGTGGTTCTACAAAGTATTGACTCAGGGGGCTGAATACAAATGCAAGTCACACTTCAGATATTTATTTGTAAAAAATGTTGAAAAACACTTATTTTCCTTCCACTGCACAATTACGTGCCACTTGGTTTGATCACATGAAATCCCAATAAAATACATTTACGTTTTTGGTTGTAACATGACAAACTGTGGAACATTTCAAGGGTATGAATACTTTTTCAAGGCACTGTCTTTTACAAGTGATCATATTCCCTCTGTTCTCAACTGCACAACAGCTGTGTGTGTAAGGAAAAGTCTAATCATTGGAAGAGAGCAGGCTGAGTTCCCAGCACAGCTAGAGAACTGACCACTCTGTGCTCATGCGTAGTGTGGTCAGTTTTTTGTTTTTTTTTTTTTAACAGGAAAACCAAGGGACTGACAGGAACACCAGGGATTTCACACAAAGGAGACAATACAAAGAAAATAATGCTTTTTCATACAAGTACATGGTACAGTAGACACATATCAGGTGTATGTAATGTTGGGTTTACTCATTATTATTGCCTATATCTAGGGTTCAAATCCCAGTGCCAGGGGAAATTCTATAGGCAGTTACACTCACCTTCAGTGAGATAATCAAACATTTAAACACAACTGTAATAAATGACCTGTTTTTTTAATTCCCAAGTCAGTTTATTTAATCATGGCAATGAAACACTGGCCATGAGGAATGCAGCTTAAGGAAAACAAATCCTAAGTGTGTATATCAATGAGCTCTATTGATTAGAGATGCTGGGATAAAAAGGCAGCAGATTCCATCTCCCAAGGTGCCCTTCCTAACCATTTTACATCCATATCACAAATTCAGTCCGATACAGAAATGGTGATTTAGCATAAACTCACTTCAGCAGGGTAATTTGGGAACATTCATTCACTGAGGTCTTTAAAATACACACATCTAGTATTAATCACTTTACTTATCTGCGCTGTTTTAAGTGGTGTAAGCTGTGCACAGGGTTGAGTGTTTTACATCATAGGCAATTTAAGATTCATGCAACCATGTGTGCACTTCCCTACAAACACTTCAACACTTTTTTAAACCAGCACCAAACTAAACTAAAAAGGCACAAAAAAAATGAAAAGAAAAATCAAAGCAATCAAGTACCTGTGTTCAACTCTGTGTCTTGGGGCAATGCATTGTCATGTTAATTCAGTCAAGGAAAAAGTCCATAAGAGTAAAAACCATACCATATTAAGATTACCTAGACATTCAAGCTGTATTCACCCTATAGCAGACAGCTGCCAGAGTGCTTTACAGCTCCGGCAGCTGTCGGTTCCCAGCTTCAGTAGGGGGGGGTGTGGTGCACAATTCAGCACTTCTCAAACTCCCTTTTTTTGTATTGTACAAACTTTATTTGAAGTGCATGAAATGTACACATCATTCATGACCTGCACTGCACAATGTATTGCAGAGCAACCCCAAACCACCTCTACTCTGGTCTCTCTCCAGAGCTTCTGACTCCTCCTTTCTATTCAATACCCCCCATGGGGGCACTTGTGCATGCTCACTCCCAAGCCCTGCTGCTGTGTCCATTGATACAGACTGTGGGGGACTCTGCCTCACCCCCCCCAGTCACTGACTGATTCACAGCAGCGGGAGCCAATGATTATTATTCTTGTTGGGTCCTGCTGAGGGCACATGATCTAGAAGGGGATATAGCCTTCCCAGGATGTGTCTGATGCCCTGACTACATCATTAGTGCCTTTTTGTGAAAGGGACCACTTCCTGATCATAGGACATCCTTAGGTTTAATGTGGTTATACCAGGATTGTGCCTGCAGCTACAGGCATCATATACTGGAATTCAAATTTGCAGCCGGCGATTCACTGTAATGCAGAACTGATTTGAGTGCCTAAACAGCCACTATCACTTCTGCGGGTGGCAGAAAGGGATCTGGCTGCAGCAATGACTGCACTATACAGAGAGAAAGAGAAACTGATGTTCTTCCCCCTGTATCCTCAGAAACTGCAAGGATTTCATCACTTCTGGTTTCAGCTCCTTGTTTACCTGGCCAATAGTGGCCAGGAAAAGCAGCCTATCCGACATACCTGTGTCTGATGGGCTGCACTGGAGTCCAGGGGAGAGATTTGGGGTCTAACAAACCCCAGATCTCTCCATAAAGAGGACCTGTCATTGCGGTCACATGGGATTTTGTTCATCTCTTGTGATCACAAAAAAAAATTAAAGAGCGTAAAAGAAAAAGCTTTAGAAAACAAAAATGAAGTAAAAATTTAAACGCACCCCTGTCCCCCTGTGCAAATGCAAACACACAAGTCCCACATACATATGTAAATGATGACTGCACAACACTTGTGAGGTATTCTAGTGCCAGACCTCCCATTTAAACTCTAAACTGATAACTTGTAAAGGCGTTTAAAGCTTTGCCTATGGAGAATTTTAGGTACCATAGTTTGGAGTCATTCCACGGGATTAAGCAATTTTAAGGCATCTATTTACTCGGCATATCATTTGTATTTTACCAACAAATTGGGTATGGTGTGCACTACAATTCATTAAAGTGTGTTTCCCAAAAAATTTTGTTTGAAAAACCAATGCGCAAATACTGTGTGTCATAAAAAATGTAAACACCCATTATTTTATTCTATAAGGCCTCTGTCAAAAATATATATATATATATATATATATATATACATACATACATACACACACACACAAATACATACATACACACACATATATATATATACATGGTATGTTTGGGGGTTCTAAGTAATTTTCTAGCAATATAATGTAAATGTTTACATGTATTTGAGAAGTGTCAGAATTGGCCCGGTAGTCAAGTGGTTAAAACAACGAAGTCATGTCTTTAGACAGCCAAAGTCTTTTTTGGGTAGAGCAAGGGGATGGCTAGAGCTCCTATCAAGTTTTTTTTATTGCCATCTGTATTCAGTTCTAGTTGTTTTTTCTACGTCAGGACTGGAAAGAATATTAAATATCACCAACAGAGGGGCACACAATTTTTAGCAGAATGAGGAAGGGTTGCAATTTCTGATAAAGCTTTCATTGCTTTCAGGGTCTTGTCCCAGTGACCATACACACCATATTTTGTGTCCAAACATAACGGACAAGAACTGAATGAAAATTTTGCAATGGAGTCAGATTGTTTTCAACTCAGCCACACTGGCAGACTCAACATGAGTAAGGTGAGGGGAAAAGTTGAACATACATGCAGAAGCTATCACAACCACCTTACACCTGAACAGAGAAGGAAAGAAAGAAAAAAAATTGATATTTTGCACATTGTATTTTTACTACAGACGAAGCCAAAAGGAAACCGGCAGATTTGATAAATGGCCATTTTTATATGACAGGCAGAGATCATCATTAACTCAAGAAATGCTGTCAACACATTATCTGAATGATGGGTGAAAGTGTGGAAAGCTTTTCGGAAACCACAATGGATTATAACTACAATATAAAAAACATTATATTCTTCTTTAGGGTTTGGGGCTGAAGCATGTTTTATCTGCGCCCCCCCCCCCCCCAAAAAAAAAAACCACGCCCCTGCTCTACCTTAAGCTACAAAAGGCAGCAATGGGTATTTGTACACATGCCTACATGGTTGTGTTCAGTGGGTACTACCACCTGCAGTTTGCGACCCATTTAACCACTTCAATACCGGGCACTTTTATCCCCTTCCTGCCAAGGCCAAATTTCAGGTTTACGCGCTCTCACACTTTGAATGACAATTGCGCGGTCATGCAACACTGTACCCAAATTAAAATGTCATTTTGTTCACACAACTAAAGCTTTCTTTTGGTGGCATTTATTTTATAGTAATAGGTGGTTCTCTCGTTCTGGGAGGACGTCATATGACGTCCCCCCATTCTCACCGTGCATGCGTAGCTCAGGGGAGCGCGCAGCGCAGCAATCGGCGGTGCGCTGTGTCCCTCAGACACAGCGGATCACCGATCATGGAAAGAGCTGAAGATGTCGGCTCGGTCATGTGCTCAGCTGGGTCCAATCGCAGCTGATCACATGTAAACAGGGAAATGTCTGTTATCGCCATTTCTCTCCTCTCGAGCTGTCACACTGACAGCTTGAGAGGAGAGCCGGTAATCGGCTTTCTGCGGAGGGGACATGCACACTGATCATCAGGGCACTGATGATCAGTGCGCCCTGATGATTTGTGTAGCCCCAGCAGTGCCACCTGTCAGTGTCCATCAGTGCCTTGTGTCAGTGCTCATCCATGCCACCTGCCAGTGCCCATCAGTGCCACATATCAGTGCACATCAATGCCACATATCAGTGTCTATCTAAGCTGCCTTTCAGTGTCACCCATCAATGCCAGTCAGTGCCGCCCGTCAGTGCCAGTCAGCCGCCAGTGCCAGTCAGTGCCGCCTATCAGTGCCATATATCAGTGCCATGTATCAGTGTTGACTTTCAGTGCCCATCAGTGATGCCTGTCAATGCCCATCAGTGCCACCTACCAATGTCCATCAGTGCAACCTACCAATGCCCATCACTGCAACCTCATTAGCGCACATCAGTGAAGGAGAAAAATCACTTATTTACAAAATTTTATAACAAAAACTAAGAAAAAAACTTTTTTTTTTCAAACTTCTAAGTGGTTTTTGGTTTAAAAAAAAAACCCGCAGACTTGATTAAATATCACCAAAATAAAGCTTTCATATGGGTACAGTGTTGCATGACAGCGCAATTGTCATTCAAATTGCGACAGCGCTGAAAGCTGGAAATTGGCCTGGGCAGGAAGGAGGTATAAGTGCCCTGTAGGCTTGTGGTTAATCATTGCTGGGGTTTTTATTTTTTGCTAAATTAACAAAAAAAGACCGAAAATTTTTTGGGAAAAAAAAAAAAACACGTGTTTCTTTGTTTCTGTTATAAAGCATATACAAGTATGCAAATAAATAATTGTTCTTCATAAATTTAGGCCAAGATGTATTCTGCTACATTTCTTTGGTGAAAATAACCCAAATCAGTATTTATTATTTAGTCTGTAGGAAAGGTATAGAGTTCGCAAACTATGGGATATATCGGAAAATTGATCAATCCTTTAGCACTGACAGCCAATTTAATTTCTTGAGGTCCAAAAATGTCAGAACAGTACAGCTATCCCCCAAATAACCCCTTTTTGCAAAGCAGACAGTCCGATGTATTTCATAAGAGGCATGGCGAGTTTTTTGAAGTTGTAATTTTTTTGCCATTTTTCAGAAGATGAAGAAATTAAAAAAATGTTCTCATTTTGTTTTTTACATATTGTCACCACTGCAGTACAGCATCATAATATAACTGGTGTGGCAGTGATCAGGGTCACTGACTGGTGACAGTACAAAAAAAAAATTATTTCAATTTTAAGTATTTTTCTCTTTTAAGATTTTTTTTCATATTGCACTATGATTAAAGTAGTATAATGTTATCATAGTAACATTGTACTACTTTGGGGAAGTGATCAATTTTTTTTTTTTTTTGTTTACACAATTTGATTATAGCAAAGAAATCCTTTGCTATAAGCAAGCATTTAAATGAATGAAATTGTTTCATTCAGGTTTTTTGTTGTGATTAGCCACGGCTAATCACATGGCACAGATGGGCTATGATTGGTCCAGCCTGTGCATGTGATCGCTGTGACCAAATCACAGCTAGATACACTTGTATACAAGGACGCCATCCATTGTATACAACTGTCATGTGACCTGCTGTGATTTGGCCATAGGCCGTGGTGGCGACAACTGGTTAAGGGCCACATTGCAGCCACCCTGCAACCGCATACAATGCATGTGTTTGCAACATGGTAGTCGTTTAGGGGGTTAAAAAGACATATTGCCTTCTCACCACCTTTTAAACATTTCTGAAAAGCAATCTGAGCATGAATCACTTCAGGATCAGCATTCCTTACCACTAGCATAAACCCTCAAAGTGAGCTTTCACACTTGGAAGTACAGGTACAGATTATATTTGACACTTCCAGGTGTGTCAAAGCATCACCGTGTTCTGTAGTAGCATGCTTTAAGGAACCACAGCACAAAATGTGGAAATTATCAGATACACCCAGAAATGTTGTATACCATTGGCGCTCACAGCTCAGTGCCTGCCAGTAAGTATTGCAAATACTAAAGCTGAACTACAACCTTTCCCTCAGTCTTGAACAATTTTACCAGCTTTACTATGTGCATTTGTAGCTGCAGCAAGTCAGAACCCACCTTATTTCCCAGATGGAGAACGTCCAGCATCATTTGGCAATTTCCTCTGCAGCCTTACATCCCCTGGCCCATCCCTTTCATTCCATTTCAATTCAGTGGATGCACCATTCAAAATCCTTTGATACAACTCCTCCAAAGAGCCAGCCCACTACGTGCTTTAAGGCTGAAGACTCTGTTCTGGGTGCTGTGATGTTATATGAAAAACCATGTTTACAGCACCCTGCTGGCCTCTCCCACTAGCCAAGGTCCAGGTGAAGCACAGAAAACCAGTAATTATGTCAATGGGTGAAAAATAATTTTATGAAAAAAAAAACAAAAAAATGTGATATTAGCTTATAGACTGGATATTAAGCCACCAAGAAAGGCAAAATATAAGCAACAAACTTCAACTTTTTATGATGTGCCAGTATCTTATTTACTGTGGTGACAGGGTCATTTTAAGAAATCAGATAAGGCCTGCAAAGCGGCCCCTAAATCTTAGAACTGTAAGAAAGTTACTTTGCAGATTCTCTATCTTAACATACATTAACACTCTAGGGCACATTTTAACAATATTTTTAACTATTTTATTAGAACATGCATTTCAGACTGTGATTAAAAGGCTCAGAAAAAAACATTAAACAGAACTGCTTTTAATGTGTTCTTAAGAACAGAAATCTGCACCAGATAAAATGGTCACATGAAAAGTTGAGTATGCAGAGCAAGGCTGGATGCACACCAATTCAATTGCATTAAGCGTGCAATGAGCGCTAAATCAAGCTGTTGTGCACTTTTTTTCTTTTTTTAAACATGCCAGTGTTTTTTTTAACCTGTTGCACTGATATTTTTTTGGGTAACTGCAGGAGCCAAAATGCAATTTTGTTTAACATACATTGCAGTGCATCAATGCGTAATTTGTTGCGCTGCTTTTAAATGCAGAATGTTCCATTTGAAATGCATTGGTGTGAACCAACCCCGTTGGAACCAAATTACACTGGGCCTGCGTTGAGTAAGAGCCAAAACACACGTGGTGTGAATGGGCTCTAAGGGTTTGGGGTTTTTTTCTCCCCTAAACAAGTGATTGCCCTTACACTACCAGATTGTTTTCTTATGTATTAGGCCCCTGTTACACCTGTAAGCATTGCCTGCTGTTATTAAACACCAACTACGCTGAAGAAAATCATACTATACAAGACAGGGCTAGTTAAATATATACATATAGTTTCAGGTTTTTTTTTTTATTCTTGGCACATCTTATTTTTATTTTCCTCCCTATTTAGTGGTCATTTTCACTAAGAACGGGTGAATCCATCTCCCTTTACTTCCTGGAACTCTGCCTCTTGGAACACGTGCGTGTGCACATCATCTGAGAGGGAAAGCACTAGTGATGAAGCCTTCCCAGGTTACACCTGAGAGGCCTTCGCTAAATTAGTGCCTCATTCAACCAGGAAGTGGGAAAACAAATTTAAGGCAGAAAAACACCCAGGAGATTACCCTTATGAAATCAGATTTTAATGCATTAGACCCTTTTCCCACCTGTGAGTGTTGCCTGACATTACTAAATACATACACTGTGCTAATGAAATTCACACTAGTCTTGACAGAGCTATTTAAATGTGTATATGTTTTTTAGATTGCCTATTGCAGGTTTTATTAACTTACATCACAATTAAGTCATATTTATTCCAAACACTAAACACATGAGGACAGCAATGGAGGAGGGAGATTCATGGAAGACATATAAATCAATAGCAATTTAAATTAGTTAGTAGAAGTCCCCACATTATAATGAATGGATTTCTCACATTAACATATCTAGGACTATTTATAATCATTTTTTTCATTTACTTAATTCATCTAACATCCAGTGATCAAAGCAGAGCTATATAAAATGCCACGTAAGAAAGGAAGATATTAGATTACTCTCTAACTAACCAATCCTACCAATAAAGTTGTCTAGGACACACCAAAAAACACAGTGAAAGGCTAAACTCAACAGCAGAAATATTTTCATACTAACCATGTTTTTAATGTTACTGTTGAAGTGCTTGCTTCACTACCAAATTAAAGGGACCATTAAAAAATGGTCAATATCAAAACATTAAAAAAAAAAAAAGAAAAATAAAAGAAAAAAAACAAGGAAAAAAGTGGTCATCAGATAATGATCACTCAGCACATCCACCAATTAGAAACAGACCAGACCAATCAGGCAAAGCAACAGTAAAGTGAGACGGGTGGGTAACGGAGACAAAATACTTACATTTAAAGAGGTCCCAGAATTCTGGGGGGAGATATAGGAAAATATGAAAGATGCTGAAGTATGGCCAAAGCATTTTAACCATAAAGCAACTGTCACTAACAAAAAATTGCCAAGTAGAATAAAGTTGACAAACCTAGAGGCCGTTCTGATGGGTAACCCAGTGTTGCATTTGCCTGCACCTTCCCGTATACGCATTCTTACTGCTCATCACTAGGACTATCACACTGGCCAATAGGAATGTTCTGGAGGCAGGTAAGATTTTACACTACCAGGACAAGCTGAAGTTTTTCAAGTCAGCATATTCTGGGATTCATGCATGACAGGATCTTTATTGCTTCTGCATGTATATACAGTGGGGATCGAAAGTTTGGGCACCCCAGCTAAAAATTTGTATTAATGTGCATAAAGAACCCAAGGAAAGATGGAAAAATCTCCAAAAGGCATCAAATTACAGATTAGACATTCTTATAATATGTCAACAAAAGTTAGATTTTATTTCCATCATTTACACTTTCAAAATAACGGAAAACAAAAAAATGGTGTCTGCAAAAGTTTGGGCACCCTGCAGAGTTAATATCTTGTACTGCCCCCTTTGGCAAGTATCACAGCTTGTAAACGCTTTTTGTAGCCAGCCAAGAGTCTTTCAATTCTTGTTTGAGGTATCTTTGCCCATTCTTCCTTACAAAAGTCTTCCAGTTCTTTGAGATTTCTGGGCTGTCTGTCACGCACTGCTCTTTTAAGGTCTATCCATAGATTTTCAATTATGTTGAGGTCAGGAGATTGTGAAGGCCATGGCAAAACCTTCAGTTCACGCCTCTTGATGTAATCCCCCGTGGATTTCGAGGCGTGTTTAGGATCATTATCCATTTGTAGAAGCCATCCTCTCTTTAACTTCAGCATTTTCATAGATGGCATCAAGTTACCATCCAAAATTTGCTG